TAAATGTAGATATATCGTCCGGAAATGTCTCGTATGAAAAGTTAAACCATAATCTGTATTGAACCTCATCTAGATGATCCCAAATCATCTCACCAACGGACCCGTGCACGTTCTTCAATCTTTTTTATACGGCTCCAAAATGCCTCAACATTGTTTGTATGCACGCCGCTTGTAGGGTCAATAAATCCAACAGAGTGATTTACAGTTGAATGCACATAACCGAGTGAACTGAGACAGCGATAAGTTGCCCATTCGTCATTATAGATTGTTGTTCCTGGAAGCCCGACATCATTTCAAGGTCATTCATTAGAACAAAAACGACCATTATCAACTCTTTGATAATTAGTCAGAACCTATTGCTTATCATGTAATTTAGCAAAAAAAATTCAAATAATCCTTTTCAACGTCATAGGATAGCAAATGCGGCCTTGTGTGAAAATAAGGGGGGGGGCATACATCGTTCACGTCCGCCGATGTGGGACTGCCTAGACGCTAGGCACCTAACCTTAAAACACCTTGTAGGTGAGGCAGGGGGTGCCTTCCTCTACCTGGTCCGGAATGCGGACGCATGTAGTCAAAGCGGTGGACACTGCCGCGCCCAACAACCATTGCCCGTGCCAAATTGTCCATTGCGGGTGTAGACCCCAAACCTTCGTCAGGCCCAAACCAACCGGATCTGGAACTGATAGGCCTACATCGGCAGTCTGGGTTGCAACCCAGCTGAGAAGGGATAAGGGAAGTNTGGTGAAAGGATGTAGTTAGAATGTCTAGTTCAACAGAACCAAAATGGAGGTGGATACTCGTAATGGTAAAACATCAGATGATAGAGTACATACAGCTACTTGGTCAGCATCTGTCACGGAGTTGAGCCAACTGAGTCGGATGAAAACGGAATCGGATGTATATAAAGTAAGGCGAGATGGGTCACAATACTTATAAAAGCATGTACCAAATTAGGTTGTGTTCCACAGATGCAGCTTCGAAGCTGGATTCGTGTACTGATATGAAATCGGTTGAGAAAGTGGACACTGCTACCTCGTTAGCATGTGCCACGGAGTTGAGCCAATTGAGTCGGATGAAAACGATGATTCTATGGAAGAAAAAATCTGCCCTTACGGTTTTAATTGCCCTGGGCTTCTTCAATTTGAGGCTATGCCTTCCTGTTGTAGAGCTCTCTTCCAGCGTGAAAAGGGGCGAGGAAATATTGGACAGCTTTTTCATCTGTTTAAATACTTCGACAATGTTGCTCCTGAGGCGCCTTCGACGAAGGGAGAAAAGTCCCAAGGTCCTTAGCCTCTCTTCGTATGGAGTGTCCCTCAAGTCCGCAATGGTCTTTGTGAACCTTCGCTGGACATTCTCCAAAAGTTGTTGCTCTCTTTTCAGGGTTGGAGCCCAGGCCTGCACAGCATGCTCAAGGTGCTGCCTGACTACTGCCTTATATATGAGTATGAGAACTTGAGGAGTAGTTGATAGATAGCCCTCTGTGCTTTGCTTGCTGCAAGAACACATTGGGCAGATGACTTAAAAGATTCGTGTATGTTCACGTCTAAGTCCTTGATTTCCGTAACCCTTTCGATGGTCTGGGGGTTTGTCTGGTTGGTGGTCCTGGGTGCAGGTGGTCCCCAGTCTGTAGCTGTTTGCACTTCCCTATGTTTAGGGGAAGGCCCCAGGTTTCGGTCCACTGCTGAAGAGTGTTTAGGTCAGCTTGTACAGTATCCTCATATGGGTTCTCGACTATCTTAGCATCATCGGCGAACAGGTAACAAGCTGCCGGAGCAGGTTGTTTCATCCCTAACAGTAGCCCAATTCAAGGCCCGTTTGGATACGTTGTAGCCTTTACTATTCCCTACCTTTATATAGACCTCCCTTACTCCCATGCCCTGTCTTATCTTCCACACTCCTAAGTCTACCGTTTTACCTTTACCTTTACCTTGCCGGCGTAAACCTGTGTTCATAAAGCTACCGGAGGTAGTCACCAATAATGAAGGCTTAACTACGAGGCTTACATACGAGGAACGACTGAAGGCTCTAGGAATTTCTCGTTAGAAAGGAGACTGCGGGGGGACCTGATAGAAACCTTTTAAATCATGTAGGGAATATCGAGAATAGAAGCGGGCAGTCTCTTTACATTAGCTATCCAACACGACACTAAGGAGCATGAGTTCAAGCTGAGGAA